TATGAGAAAACAACCAAAGAACTCTGGAATTAATGGTCATTCTCTGAGACAACTTACCTGGTATTTTCATAAACAACTAACTGTGTAATAAGGTGTGGGGGAGATACCCCTAAAACAAAAGGGGGAGCAGGCAGTTGTACATGAATACTGGTTTGATCCTGGCTTGGGTGGTAAGGGATGGTGTAGGGGAACAGCTCTGAAAGACTTAGGAGATTCCAGTCAACACTGGCTACATTCACTGATGTTATGCGGTTATTTTTCAGTTTTCTTGGGTATGGTATTAGTGTGGTTGAATAGGAGAAAGTGTATTTCTGAGATATGAGTAGTAAGAGGTGAAATGTTACGTCCTTCACTTACTTTAAGAGTACACACACAAAAGCACATAAGTAAAATGTTAATGACTATCTTGAGGTAGTGTGTATATGGCCATGGGTTAAAACTTTTGCAAGTTAGACATTTTTCATAAGAAAGTTCTTAGCAGGCCAGGGGTTTAGCTCAACGGCACCATGCCTGCCTCACAAGCTGCCTCACAAGTCCTGAGTTCACACCCTGGTACCAAAAAGGAAAGTTCTTAGCGTGCAGTTGAGGGAAATAGTATTTATTGAAGATAACCGTATCATATACAGTGTGTTCCTGCGAAAATCTGTGACCACTGTGGATCTGTGCCTACATTGCATTCTTCAGAACAGCTTCTTTTTTACTGCACTCTGGACATGGTAACACAGGCTTACATTGAGAACTGGAGTAGAAAACATTTCTGTGAAATGCTCTGTGTTATAGGATGTTTTTGAGACCTTTGCTTACTGGATTGTATGATGTCTTTTTTGAGAAAAGTGAAACAGTGTTTCAGTAATAAGAACAGTTCTGCTGCTCCTGAGAAACTGACTGTGACATGTTATAGAGGACCGTGGTGTGTTACAGACGCTGCATATCTTCACTGGCTGTTGAAAGCTCAGGTCTCACTTGCAACCCCTCTCTATCTAGCAGGTGCCCCTCCCAGCTGTACTCCTGGTAGCTTCATACTTTTCCCTACCTGCCCTTAGTTTTACTTCATCCTGATTCCACTCCATTTTTAAAATTTTATTTTATAAAATGCTTTATATCCAACAATGTTCTAGCTATGTTCAAAGGATTTAAGATAATGTAGGACAGATGGTGTAGCTCACTGTTAGTTCTTTTGCATAAGCAAAGCCTTGGGTTCAATACCCAGCACCAAAAAAAAAAAAAAAAAAAAAAAA